AGACGCTCACGACTTTACACTGTTATACAAGCTAGACGCTCACTACTTTACACTGTTCTACAAGCTGCACGCTCACTACTTTACACTGTTATACAAGCTGCACGCTCACTACTTTACACTGTTATACAAGCTAGACGCTCACTACTTTACACTGTTATACAAGCTGCACGCTCACTACTTTACACTGTTATACAAGCTGCACGCTCACTACTTTACACTGTTATACAAGCTAGACGCTCACTACTTTACACTGTTATACAAGCTGCACGCTCACTACTTTACACTGTTATACAAGCTGCACGCTCACTACTTTACACTGTTATACAAGCTAGACGCTCACTACTTTACACTGTTATATAAGCTGCGCGCTCACGACTTTACACTGTTATACAAGCTGCGCGCTCACTACTTTACACTGTTATACAAGCTGCACGCTCACTACTTTACACTGTTATACAAGCTGCACGCTCACTACTTTACACTGTTATACAAGCTAGACGCTCACTACTTTACACTGTTATACAAGCTAGACGCTCACTACTTTACACTGTTATACAAGCTAGACGCTCACTACTTTACACTGTTATACAAGCTGCACGCTCACTACTTTACACTGTTATACAAGCTGCACGCTCACTACTTTACACTGTTATACAAGCTGCACGCTCACGACTTTACACTGTTATACAAGCTAGACGCTCACTACTTTACACTGTTATATAAGCTGCGCGCTCACGACTTTACACTGTTATATAAGCTGCGCGCTCACGACTTTACACTGTTATACAAGCTGCGCGCTCACTACTTTACACTGTTATACAAGCTGCACGCTCACTACTTTACACTGTTATACAAGCTAGACGCTCACTACTTTACACTGTTATACAAGCTAGACGCTCACTACTTTACACTGTTATACAAGCTAGACGCTCACTACTTTACACTGTTATACAAGCTAGACGCTCACTACTTTACACTGTTATACAAGCTAGACGCTCACTACTTTACACTGTTATACAAGCTGCACGCTCACTACTTTACACTGTTATACAAGCTGTACGCTCACTACTTTACACTGTTATACAAGCTGTACGCTCACTACTTTACACTGTTATACAAGCTAGACGCTCACTACTTTACACTGTTATACAAGCTAGACGCTCACTACTTTACACTGTTATACAAGCTGCACGCTCACTACTTTACACTGTTATACAAGCTAGACGCTCACTACTTTACACTGTTATATAAGCTGCGCGCTCACGACTTTACACTGTTATACAAGCTGCGCGCTCACTACTTTACACTGTTATACAAGCTGCACGCTCACGACTTTACACTGTTATACAAGCTGCACGCTCACGACTTTACACTGGAGCAAAGAGTCATTTCTTCAGTGTTTCACATGAAAAGATAGAATCAGATATTTACAATAATGTGAGGGGCGTGTCAGTGCCCAGTACCGCCGGCCGGATCCACTCTGCACATGCTCAGAAGTGGTTCTGTCAGTCAAAGAAGGTCACCGCAGATCTGCCTGCTCAAAATGATCCAACTAAATCTTTCAAATCAAGATAACAAAGTCTTTTTTAATCTCTGGAGATGAAACTGTTCACTATGATGTAACAGGAAAATACTTTAGAAATGAAAAACCTGATTTCTAACAAAGGAGGCTAACGCTAGCTGCTAGCGATGGCTGCACAGCTGTAGGGTTAGCCGGTCGACGTGCAGACAGTCGCTGACTCAGGTTTAGGCCCACCCCCCTGTGGTGGTTAGGGTTAGTGGGAGGGGCTTTGGGAAGCTGTCAACGCCTTTTATACTAATATAGCTAGCTTCCTTGCTAGCTACTAGCGCTTCCGGTGTAGGTAATGTCACATAACGTGATTGGCTGTACGTTTGTGTGATGACGTGGCAGATGGTGATTGGCTGTATGTCGTAGTGTTTACGGATACTAGTTTTCGGTGAATTAATGTTACGACGCTAATGTTAGCTGCCGATCCACATAAGCTAACGTGTGTGTGTGTGTGTGTACACATTATTTCCATATTGCCAAAGTAAATGTGAAATAAAAGAAAAAATATTTAATAAAGACCCTGAGCAGATCTGATATCTACATTTATAACTGGGACACAATTAAATTAGCTACCGTTAGCTTAACTTGATCGGCAGCTAACATTAGCGTTGTAACATTAATACATGCTAATGCCAGGCTGTGTTCTCCCAGATTATTTAACGGCTCTGGGGTCTCCGCAGTTGATCCGAGGAACCGTTAAAACTATATCTATAAGCACTCCGACGTACAGCCAATCACAATCTGCCACGTCATCAAATAACGCTTTGTCAGCCTTTCTGTAAGCGTATTTGACACCCTGAGATGAGAACAGACAGCAACACAGGAGTAATTATGAACAGGCACTTTTGTGGAAACGTCCTTCAGACAGATAGGGACCCGGCAGGCAGCACGGATTGGGTACCTACAGGGTGTATTCACTCCTGTGAGATCCTGCATATTAATAACGGAACCAGTCGAAGTCTTAAAGAAATCTAAACAAAATAATTTGGTTCATAAACAATCAGAAAATAAAAACATCTGAACCTGAAAACATGTTCATGTTTGATAAAATTCAAACGGCGTCAGAACTTCAGTCATCTCTCGCCGTTGACCACCGTACATATTTTATCCCCATGTGGTCCGCTGGAAGGGGCGGGGCTTAGGCTCTCTGTAGAGAGCTGGTCATGACATCACTTCCTGTGTAGCCTCTGTTCCTCAGTCTGAAAACATGAAGTGAGGAAGTTTTATTCTGAAACTCTTCAGCAGCTGCAGATCAGAAACTGAAACCTTTATGACTCGAACAGAACTACAGCTGCCATAGAAACGGACGCCATCTTTGTTTGTTCAGATCCATAAAATAAATGTTTGATGATCTGAAGACGTTCTGTCCTGTTCAGGTTCTACAGTCGTTAGAAATGTCAGTGAGGTTGTGGATGAAGTTTCTAACTCGTGGAAAATATCCTGGTTTCACTTCAGCTCTTTAAACACACACAGGAAGTGATGCGTGCGTGTGTGTGTGTGTGTGTGTTCAGAGCGTGGAGGTTCATCATGGAGAACTTCAGGAAGAAAGGATCTCTGCTGGTCACCGTTCCCAGTCTTCAGGAGAGTCTGAGCCCTCTGCAGGTAAAACACACACACACACACACACACACACACACACACACACACACACACACACACACACACACACACACACACACACACACACACACACACGTGCATCACTTCCTGTTTGTGTCCAGCAGGAGGCGCTGCAGCCCGGCTGGGTGGAGGAACTTCCTGTGGACTACGATGTTTACCTGGGCAGAGACACGGACCCTGACGCTCTCCGGCAGATCCACCTGTACAGGGTGGTCTGATCTGAACCGGTCTGGACTGAACTGCATCGCTGTTCCTGGACTGTTCTGGACCGGGGTTCTACAGGTCCCGGCTCCGGACCGGGGTTCAGGACTCTTTAATCCTTCAATAGTGTTGGAGGACTGAGCAAGAGACCAGAGCGAGCTGTGACCCCGTTAAAAGTGAACTCAGTAATGGTGACATCACCACAAGTGTGAACTCCCTGTGATGTCACTCTGCTCACGTTGTTGTCATGGAAACCTCAGGTGTGTCTGTAATAAAGAGTCGAAGAGAAACGGCCCGATGGTTCTGCTGAACGTTTGTTCTGTTAAACGTCTCCTTCATCTTCCCACTGCTTCAGTGATGTCGCCGTGATGTCACTGTGACGTCGCCGTGACGTCCCCTTTCAAACACAGATTGATGTAATAACTAACTTACAAATAAAGAGTTGCAAACATTTTTCTAAAGAAACTCCTAAAATCCACTCAGGCCATAAACGCTGCTCAGACTGAAGCGGAACATCACCTGTACAGGTAGCCGCCGGTAGCTGCCGGTAGCTGCAGGTAGCCGCAGGTAGCCGCCGGTTGCCGCCGGTGACCAGCCTCTGTGACCTGACCAGCGCTGCGACAGGCTGCGTGAAAATAAAGAATATAAAACACATTCAGAGTGCTGAGCTGTTCACTGTCACATCTTAAAGCAGCTGCGAGCTTTCTGCAGATGGTGATGTCATTTCCCAGAGAGCTGATTGGTCAGTACGTGTTTTTATAGAGTTGATCTCTGATCTCAGAACCTGCTCCAGGTGAGCCGCTCAGCATCGGGGACCATGGTGATGTACCCGGTAAGAAGGAACCACCGTCAAGTGACCTCGCTGAGCTCGGATCCTGCTCCGTGGTCGGAGGCCTCGGGACGCCAAACATCTGATTTATTTAACAGGAGCGCTGTGCTGCAGGTCCACGCCTGGATATGATCATGTGATCACGTTCACCAGCAACAAGTGTTCCAGGTGAACGGGTTCTTTCCAAGGCCGGGAGGTCAAAAGCAGAAACAGCAGATGTTCTTAATGTCGTGATTTGCATATTAATTATTATTATTCTGAAACAACAAGCAGTTTAAAAAGCTCTTTTTATTTTAATGAGCAGCAGATTACCTGCGGCGTTCTGCGCAGATTCACTGCTGTGACGCATCACCTCGTGCTCTCGTCACCGCTTCCTGCCGTTCACTTCTGTGACGTCACGGCTCTGTTTCATCACCGGCCGTTTCCCGAGGCAACCATTGGCTGGCAGCGGAGGAGCGGCAGGACGGCCGACCAACCGGCGCAGAGGAGTACAGCGAAGCCCCGCCCACTTACTAACTCCGTGCGGTGCGTTCAGGTGACACAGCTCGGGAACACGCGATAACGCTGCTCACTACACCTGGTGGTGATCTGTGACAACAGACACGTTTATAAAGGTGAAAAGAAAGAAATAATTTACACAAATTAAAAATTAAAAAGAGTAAACTGAATAAATACAATCGGGTCACATGTTTTTTTATTAGAAATTATATTATTTATTTTTTCAAAACTGAGACAAATAACAATTCAGCAAAAAATCCATTTATTTTATTTATTTATTTAACTGGGCACATTAATGAATATTTTACTGTAAATATGCCAGATTTAGTCAGACGGCTAATTTCCATCGGTAGTCGTACATTACAGAGGTCAGTATAAGAAAAGTACAACAAACTGTAAAAGAATAACAATATATTAACATATAGATATATTAATTAGATAAAACTTTTGTACTTAATACTATTTTAATAATTGATTTATAGTTAAATTGTTTCTTAAGCAAAAACGTGAAATATTCAGGGGTTAGGCTAAACTGAATATTTTTGGATTTTAAACATCCATATTTGACCAGTAACTTTACGGAGGCCATATTAGGCTGATTGATCGATGATGAAATCACCGTCAGATGCAGCCTTTTGTTATTAATAACTTTATAAACACAGAAATAAAAAAGAAAGAGCAGTAAGTGTTGAACTGAATCTGAAGTTTCCCAGCCCGCCGCGGGTCCGTGAAGTGGTTGAAAACTTGGTCAACAAGCCGCCAGTCCGCGCGCAGCTCTCAGCTCTCAGCTCGCGGACTTCTTCTTCATTTTGTCCCGCGGATTGTCGGTCCATCGTTACACAACTCGGTAAAGTCCGTGAGGAGCAGGTTCTCCCGGCGGTTCGGAGGCTGAGGGCGGGATTAAAGAAGTTCTGGTTCCGTAGTAACGGAGGTAAGCCGCGGCTCGGACGGCGCGCGGCTCCATGCGGGCGGATTATCTCCGAGTCTAACAAAAGAGCCGGTCTGCGCGCGCTCCGCTCGGTCCCCCCTCCCGGTGCTCCCCGTCCAGGACTCCGGTTTGAATCTGACGGTCGACTTTGGTTTGTTTAGTCCGAGTTCGGGTCCCAGATTCGGTCTTCGTGACTCGGTTTCCCTCCTTTTCCTGAAAGCGGACCCGGAGCGATGCCGCTGCTCCACAGGAAAGCCTTCATCCGGCAGAGACCACCTGCGGACCTGCGGCCGGACGAGGAGGTCTTCCTCTGCAAGATCACACACGAAGTCTTCAGGTCCTACGAGTAAGTACTTTTCGAGCTCACCTGGCGCACCTGCGGGCCGCTACGGGACCGGCACTGAGTCCTGAGTGACAGTTGGTCCGCTGGCAAACTTCCAGACAACAAAAACAAAAGCAACTTTATTCAGAATGAAAAGTTGAACTTGTTCCCTGGTGAGCAGGTGCAGGGCTCCGGGGATCCGGTCCACACAGGCAGGCCGCGGTAGAAGTGGACTGGACCGGTCCGGGAGCAGGTGTACTGCTGGGCTAAAGTTAGCGAGCTAGCTGCGCTAAAGTGAGTTAGCTGAGTTAGCTCGGCTAGGTTAGCCGTTAGCTGAGAGATCAGGCCTGCTGTCACTCAACACTGTGTCAATAAAGTTTGGAGAGTTGAACTCACCTGCGGAGGGTAAAGGGACGTTACAGCCGTCACAGGACAGGTGAGCTTGCTCAGGTGTTCTCACAGAGTCTAGCCTGAAACAGACAGACTCCAGGTATTGATGACGATCAGCTGATCAGTGAACTTTCTGTGATGTTTACTTCCTGGTTGAAGTTTGGCAGCTCGAGTTCAGACATGTGACTCTAAGGTGAGGTGTCCAGGTGTGTCCAGGTGTGTCAGTGAATGAAGTATTGATCAGGACTTGATGCTTGTTATTGACATTCTCCCGGCTGATGTCACTTCCTGTCCTCAGTGAGTTCTTCGAGCGCACCATCCTGTGTAACAGTCTGGTGTGGAGCTGCGCTCTGACAGGCCGAGCGGGCCTCACCTACCTGGAGGCGGTGGAGAGCGAGCGGCGGGCGAAGCAGAGTCTGCAGAGCTTCGCTCCGTCTCTGCTGGTTCCTCTGCTCCACCTGGCCGCTCAGAGCCGCCGCTGCCGGCTGACGGAGCTCTGCGAGGACGTCTACGCCTTCGTCAAAGACCGCTTCTTCCCCGGAGAGACCGTCGACGTCACGGGACGCAACGGAGCCAGGTACGGGGGGCGGGGCCGTACGGTTACTCCACCACAGCAGGACAGGCGGGGTTACTTTATTTAGAGCAGTGCGACCAATCACGAGTGCTGACCGGCCTCGGCCGGTCAGCACTCGTGATTGGTCGCAGCAGGTACGCATCATCGACCACTTTTGGTCAGTGCGTGGAGACGGGGGAGGCGAGAGGGGGAACGTTTAGAGTGACACCAAATGTTCAGCAGGAGACGTGTTTGAAAATCTGAAGATCACCGTGACGCTGATGGAACCGAAGGTTCTCCTGACGTTCCGCTGACTACAGTCAGCAGCAGAGGCTCATGGGTATTATAGTATTCAGAACAGTTGATTAGTCAGAACATAAATCTGTCTGTCAGAGTTTCTGTGGAGGAGAGCAAACAGATCAGATGACACAACAACCTGCTGTCACTCCAGAGTCTCCACATATGGACGCTTGGTCGAGACCCGTTGGCGTCAGTTTGAACGCCAAAGGTAGGTGAAGGATATTTAACAGTAAAGTCAGAGTCAGGAGGAGGTTGGGGGGACGGGAGGGCCAGAAACTGGACTTTAGACCAGGAGCCTTCAGTAACGGCAGTCCAACAAATTGTGACGCTTCACAACATCAGCACACACTTTTATTGTGAAAGTCTAACAGGACGTTGCATATTTATTCTTTCTAACTGACCACGGAGCCCGATCCGTTAAAAAGGAACGCCAAGAGGTTCTGACCAAGCGTCCATATGTGAGGAGTCGGGATGAGAACGTGTTGGATACAAACAGCATCGTGAGGAAACAAGCTGCTGATTGGTCGCGTGTGTGTGTGTGTGTGTGTGTGTGTGTTGCAGACATGTGTGTGAGATCCTGCAGGTTCACTCTCCTCACTCCAGCGCTAACGGAGCGCCGGCCGCTAACGGCCACGCCAAAGCAGCGGACGGTGACACCATCGTCATCAGTGACAGCGACGACGAGAGCAAAGCCTTCCAGAGTCCCACGGCGCAGGTCAACGGGTCAGTAGGTCAAAGGTCATTCTAATGTTGATCGGTCAGCAGGTCGTGCTGACTGATCAGGAGTAAAGAACAGGGTTCTACGCATCCTGGAAAACCTGGGAAAACAGTTGATCCCTATTCCATTCATTGAGAGAAATAGTAAAATGTCCTGGAAAAGTATTTTAACGTGATGTCGTAGCAGCGCTGTGAACGCAGCCCGAGTCAGGTCACATGGTTGGCTGGACGCCATTAATTCAAGTGACTGACGCTCTGAATAATATTAATAAATAATGAGTTGAATAATTCAGTCCCTCCAGGATCTTTCTGATTGTTGCAGCAGCTTTTCTAAAAAGCATATGACACTTTGGATGGTTTAGCTTGCAGCCAAACACGGAAAGAAAGAGAAGAGCAGCTTTCTCTCCTGGTGTTCCTGCACACGCTCAGTCCATGCTGATTTTACCAGCCGTCACCTTCGGCTGCGTCTCAGGCGAGTTCCTCACCACGAGCTCGGCTTCCCTTGGTTTCATCTTCTGGGATCATTGAACACGTCTCTGTACGTTTTTATTCGCTGTTCACATCACGTGTCTCTGATCGATGCAGATTCTCTTTCCTCTGTGAGGCTTTACTTTAGTGGTTAAACAGACTCGTCCTCGTTTTCTACTTGTGACTGTCGTCGTTGGAGGTTTGACTCGCCGCTAAAGTTGTCTGTGAAGGTTCTCGGTCATCCAGGTCGTGGTTATCCAACGAAGGCTGAGGTCAAGGACAGCTGGACGTAGATACTAGAAAGTATCTACTAGTCTCTTCAACCACGTCCAGTCGCCCTTGACTTTAACCTTCGTTGGACTCGCCACTAAAGGAAAAAGCTCTCGGAGATCTTTCAACTCAGTTTATTGATAGAAAGTTAACAAAATAATTTTCCGTAGTTTCAACACGTTTTAAAAAATTACCTTAAATTCGTTTGCTACAACTTATTCGGTGACTAAACGGTTTCACTCCTCACTCCCAGCTGCAGTCTGTCCCCGTATAAAACTACCCGTGAAGACGAACTCCTCAGGAGCGTCTGATCAGTTTCCCAAAACTTTTATTTAACAGTTATTTAAAACAAGAAAAAAATAAAATGGTTCACCTTGCTTGTCCATAACAACAATAAAAATAATAACAGGCTGCCAATAATTACTGTGGCTTCACCAGGTGGCGTTTTAGTATCGAATGATGTATCTGCTGGTATCGGTGTCACTTTGAGGGTACTGGTTTTGGTTCTGGTATGTAACGATACCCAACCCTATTCCTGAGGCCTCTCACTGTACAGACAGTGCAGTCTATTGCAACCTCGGCGGTCCTAACGCGTCCTCGCAGCACGCCTCGGGCAGAATCCAGTTTCTTTGTTTGCTGAGTTTATTGAATCCTCCTCTGAAGGTGAATCTGAGTCGCCGCTGACGGTGGTCGTCTGCTCAGTTACTGGTGTTCAGGCAGCAGGAGGTAAAATATCACTCGCTTTCAGAATACTTAAAAATAATAAAGTAAAAAAGGACAAACGCAGCAGTAAGAGATGATTTCAGACTGCAGGACTTTAACATCAGACTTCAGCAGAGAGGAACATGTTGGTGTCATCAGTGAAAAGGTCCTGGAAGGTCCTGGAAGGTGATCTGCAGTGAAGCGTCCTGAGTCTGAAGGTGTTGCAGGAGGGTGACGACTGTTTTAATGTGTGTCTGCAGGAAGAAGAAGAAGAAGAAGCCTCTGAGTCCGTCAGTGTTTAAATACACAGTGAGGATGATGAAGGACGAACACAGCGAGGCGTTCACTGTCAGAGCCAATCAGATCAGGTGAGCCGCCGTGACATCACCACACTGCTGAGATTTAGTTGGATCAGAGCCGATTGAGCAGGTTTGATCGTCAGGATGTTATTGACGGGTAGTGAAGTTGAAGAGCGCCCTCTGCTGGACGTCAGGGTGAACTGCTTCAATCAGACCAACAGATAAAAAGCTCATCACGTCCTTTTAAACAGGAAGTCAGAAAGTAGTTTCCTGTCAGCCTGCGGAGCCAGAGGTCAGTGTGGACGTTCACGTTGTGTTTGTTCAGTCGCAGGAAGGCCAGCGTGTCCAGAGAGAGACTGAAGCTGCTCTTCAAGCAGCACTGTGAGCCTCACAACGGGACCATCGCACTCAAGGTGAGTCCACAGAGGGGAAAGGTAGCTCTGCCGCCAGCTGACTCACCTGTGGAAGGTAACGGCGCTGGGGATGCAGCGATTACCGGATTTCACTGTTAACCGCGTTTTAAAACGTCACTGTTAATTAATCGTACAGGGAGTGTTTCTGTTGCAGAGTTTAGGAGCGGTGCAGCAGCTTAACGTGTCGTGCTGATCAGAGGCTACTGCACACCGGCTAAACTCTGGCAGAGGGACCAGACTGTGCGGCTTTATTTCTGCTGAAGGCGGCAGCGTCTGACCAGGGCGTCACTGGAGATGACGGATCACCTGTTCAAAAACTTGCAGTTAAAAGGTTCCTGCTAAAGGAGCGAATAGCTGCATTAAACTTGATGCAGCGCCCAGCGTTGCGCCCACGTAAAGGCAGGCCTAATACATTAGGGGAACATGGGGTAAGACGCAACAACAGCCCCGCTGCGCTACGAGGCCCGTTATTTTCAATGGCTTGTGCCGCGCCAGGGTGTTTTGTTACTGCGTTGGGCAACGTGCCCCGCACGGCGAGCTCGTGCCCACGCAGCGCAAATCGCTTCTTTTCTGAAAGGTTCTTTATGGAAGACAGAACGTCGTCCTCTGCAGACCTTCAGTCACTGAACATTTACCGTCACATCCTGTTTCCTCCTGTCTGATGTAAAACACTTAAACATCAGGAGCCTATAGGCTGCCAGTTAACTGCATTTCAGTCAACACTGCACTCAATTTCCAGTTCAGCTTCTTCCCCCTCGAGGTTAAAGTTCGTACATATTACAGAAATATAATTGTTAATGTAATTGAGTATTAAAAACACTGAAGTCGTTACTAGTGTTGTGAAATTAATTAATGCGTAATAATAAGAAACCGTGATTATTTCTCTGACAATAATCATACCCACAAAATCTGTAATCGTTGCATCTCTAAACCGCGAAGCGGCGTTCAGCCGACGGGCCGAGACGTCCGCGCCACAAAGCCTCATCATGGATCCACAAACGTGAAGATGTGCGTTAGGGCGAACTCGCTCTCTGCCCCGTTTCCTCGCACCGTGCCCCGCTGACCCGCGCTCACACTGCACCTTACCATCCCAGCCGCAGCACGTTTACGTCGTCGCTCCAGTGTTTCCCGTACCGCCACAGATCCAACGCTGAGCTCCACGTGTTGATATTTGATTTATTTTGGGGGGGGGGGGGGAGCTCTCTGTCTCTCGCGGCACAGTGCCGTTCTACGTCTGAGTTCCGTGCTCGGGCACGGTTAGCGATCACCGCGTACCGGTCACAGCACGGAGCGCCACAGTGGTCAAACGAACCGGACTTTGGGGGTTAAACGTGCTCGGACACGGTACGGATCGCCCAGTGTGAGTTCGCCCTTAGTTTACTCAGCAGCAAGTCTGCGTCCCGGTCCACGCGGGTAACACGAGGCGAGGGACTTCAGAGCTCCTTTAGTAAAAGAATAACGAAGCTGTCGTTACTGAGATCAACTTTACGTCTCGGTCTGGGCAGAAGAACCAATATCAGCGGGACGTCGTCAGTCCTTACGATCGGTAACGAACTTCTCCATGTTTGAGGTCAGATTCAGGCGAGCATTTTTAGAAGTGATGGATTGGATGAGGGCGGCGGAGTCTGTGTGTCCCGCCCCTGCAGAGTTACGCTTCACATCCCGAACGTCTCCTCAGCTGAAAGGTGACAGAAGACAGAAGTCAGCCTCCTCAAATCATGAATAGTAACATAAAATAACAAATCAGGCATGTGTTCACATCACGTGACCCAGCATGCATCTGTCTTTCCTGTGGTTTCTCTGCATCACGTGTTCCTCTAATCTCTGTGGTTCTGCGTGTTGATCGGTGAGTTCTCCTGTTCCTCCTCTCTCAGCCCTCCACAGTGATGAAGTACCGGCTGTCTGAACAAACCTTCTCGCAGTTCTTCCCTGACGAGCCGCCGCTGTTCCCCTTCAGCCCCTCCTCTAAAGGCGCGGGGCGGGGCTCCCCTGGCCAGGTGAGAGTGACGCTGCGTGACATCACAGGATCAGCGCTTATAGGTCACTGATTGATCTGATCGGTAAAGGGTGTGATGTGCTTCCAGGCGGGCTCGTCGCTGCTGAAGGCGGCGGAGAAGCTGAAGCTGCTGCAGCAGAGGGAGGAGATGGCAGCTGCAGCTCAGGACAAAGCCCGGCTGAAGAAGGAGAAGGAGGAGGTGCAGGAGGCCAAGAGGAGGGAGAGGGAGGACCGAGAGAGGCTGAAGGAGGAGCAGAGGAGGAGGTTTGAGGAGGAGAAGCAGAGGAGGAAGGAGGAGAAGGAGCAGAGGAAGCTGGAGAAGGAGAGGGTGAGTCTCATGCTGCTAAAACAAAGTGAAATAATGAGAATCAGTCGGTGACTTTAATCTGATCACAGGAGCGAGAGAAGCTGAAGGAGGAGAAGAAGAAATACGCTGAGCGACTGAAACTGTGGAACAAACCCAGAGAGGACATGGAGTGTGAAGACCTGAAGGTCAGTGAACGCACCGCCGAGCTTAAAGAGGTTCCTCTGTCACTGGTCCTGGACTAGATTCTGTTCCTGTTCTGTGCACATGAGGTTTGCACAGAACCAGCCTGTAGATCTAGATGATGAAGATGATATCTCCAAGTGTTCTCCTCTGAACCAGAATCTGTGTGTGTTGGTTCCACCAGGACCTGCCCAGTGCGGTTCCAGTGAGGACTCGACTTCCACCCGAGCTCTTTGGAGAAACTCTGATGGTTCTGGAGTTCCTGCGGGCCTTCGGCGAGGTCTTTGACCTGAAGGACGAGTTCCCCGACGGAGTCTCTCTGGGTAAGGACACTTTCTCTAAACTCTACTGGACAGAACTAGACCAGCACCCTGTGGTTCCGTAGGGTACTAACAAGGTTCTGTTCCCACTCTGGTGTCGTGGTACCGGTCCTGTGCCAGTATGATGGATAGAATGTATTGACAGGTGTTGTGTTGGTCTCTCTCTTCCCCCCCACAGAGGTTCTAGAGGAGGCTCTGGTGGGTTCTGACCCTGAAGGTCCCCTGTGTGAGCTGCTGTTCTTCTTCCTGTCGGCCATCTTTCAGGCTCTGGATGAGGAGCAGGAGGAGGTGGCTAAAGACCAGGCTGAAGGTGAGACACACGAAGAGCTGTGATTGGTCGGCTGCACTTTAACACCATCACACCTGGACAGACCTGCTGGGGTGTGTGTGTAATGTGTGTGTTTTGTGTGTGTTTATGTGCAGACCTGTCGGAGGCTCTGGACGACGACTCTGACGCCACCCAGTCGGCGCTGAACGCCGTCGCGTCATTGGCTGCGGCCTGGCCTCAGCTGCATCAGGGTTGCAGTCTGAAACAGCTGGACCTGGACAGCTGCACGCTGTCAGAGATCCTGCGGCTGCACATCCTGGCGTCCGGCGCCGACTGTTACCACGGCAACGCCAAGTTCCGTTACCAGAAGCAGGGCGGGTTCTTGATGATGGACGACCCCTGTGTCGAGCTGCGATTGGCCGAGCCGGCGCTGCTGAAGAAGCTGACGAGCACGGCGGTGTACGATCTGACGCCAGGTCTGTAGCCCACCAATCTCAGTACAGATTGACTTAGAAAGGTTGGGTTGATCAGGTATTGAAGGGGTATTGATGGGGTATTGATGGGGTATTGAACGGGTATTGAACGGGTATTGAACGGGTATTGAACGGGTATTGAACGGGTATTGATGGGGTATTGATGGGGTATTGATGGTATTGATGGGGTATTGAACGGGTATTGATGGGGTATTGAAGGGGTATTGAAGGGGTATTGATGGGGTATTGATGGGGTATTGATGGGGTATTGATGGGGTATTGAACGGGTATTGAACGGGTATTGATGGGGTATTGATGGGGTATTGATGGGGTATTGAACGGGTATTGAACGGGTATTGAACGGGTATTGAACGGGTATTGATGGGGTATTGATGGGGTATTGAACGGGTATTGAACGGGTATTGAACGGGTATTGAAGGGGTATTGAAGGGGTATTGAAGGGGTATTGAACGGGTATTGATGGGGTATTGATGGGGTATTGATGGGGTATTGATGGGGTATTGAACGGGTATTGAACGGGTATTGAAGGGGTATTGAAGGGGTATTGAAGGGGTATTGAAGGGGTATTGAACGGGTATTGAACGGGTATTGATGGGGTATTGATGGGGTATTGAACGGGTATTGAACGGGTATTGATGGGGTATTGAAGGGGTATTGAAGGGGTATTGATGGGGTATTGATGGGGTATTGAACGGGTATTGATGGGGTATTGAACGGGTATTGATGGGGTATTGAACGCATATTGATGGGGTATTGAACGGGTATTGGTGTGTGTGCAGGGGAGAAGCTGAGGATCCTGCAGGCTCTGGTGGGGAAGCTGCTGACGTTGGCGTCCAGCAGAGACCTGATCGAAGACTGTGTGGAGGAGCAAAGAGCCGCCAGGCAGGAACTGAGAGAGATCAGATCGGAACAACACCGCCGCGAGAGGGAGGAGGCCGCACACAGGTACGCTACGCAACACGCTACGCAACACGCTACGCAACGCACACTCACACAGGTAGGCACACGGGTATAGGGCTGCACATAACGATTATTTTTCAAGTCGATTAATTTAACGACTAATTTTGTGTATTCTAAAGAGAAAAAAAAAGTTACCCGATTAACAAACCAATTTATCCAAAATATCAAAAACTTGTCTAATCAATATTATATTCAATTCATTAGAATGACATTGGCAGCAAAGTGAATCCAGTTTCCTCGTCACTGATGTGTTGTGATGAAAATAACCGACAGTAATCAGGCTGCTTTACTTTAAATGTTCCTGGAGTTATTTTCAGTACTGAGTGATGCACTCTGATAATCAGATGTTTGTGTAGCAAAGAAACATCAGAAACAGATCGTCTGTAAACTTAATTCAGCTGTTTTCTCGCTCAGACGTGGCCGTTAAATAAACAGAAAACATGAAACGGCCGAACGTTAGATGACACGCAGTGTTACGTTACCATGACAGCAGCGGGGCAGAAATTACTGTTAACATGAAGGCGATGAAGAAACACTTAGAAAACCTGTCTCGTGTGGAGACGCTCTACTTTCGCTTCACGTGTTCGTGGACAGCAGCTGTGCTGCGGTGAAGCTCATGGAGCAGCACGCCGTTGAGTCTGAAGACGGTCTGCAGCTTATCGGGGGGGAATCCCTGCTGACAGCGACGCTTCGCCGCAGATCTACACGAGTACGCAACATGTGGGTTGGGAGAATACTCTGTAATGTGTTCTGTTTAGTGGGTGAAAAGACAGACGGTGGAAACGGCAGCAGAACAAACGAGTACAGTTTTACAGGAGCAGCTTCAGGTTAACTCACCTGCTTCACTGAGGCAGCTTTCTTCAATCAAGGTTCCCTCAGCACTTCTATAAAAACCAAAATACGACCACATTCAGACTTCAGACAGGCTGAAAGATATCCAGAGCGCTGCACTGCCCATCCCCATCTTGTCATAGACCGTTGCGAACTTTGGTTGATGCTGGAAGATATTTACTGAGAGTTGGTGATCAAACACTGTTTTCATGATAAACATTATGTTAACTCATTCAGCTGACGCTTTTATCCAAAGCGACTTACAGGGGGGCTGTCAGAGGTCGCACGCCTCTGGAGCAACGAGGGGTGAAGTGTCTTGCTCAGAAACACAATGGTGGATTGAACCCGGGTCTCTCACACCAAAGGCAGGTGTCTTATCCACTGCCCATCACCAATTTATAAAATTTGATTTGATATCCATTTCATCCCTAGTACACATGACGCACAACGTACACGCACAACGTACACGCACAACGTACACGCACAACGTACACGCACAACGTACACACGGGGGCGCGCACAACGTACACGCACAACGTACACGCACAACGTACACGCACAACGTACACGCACAACGTACACACGGGGGCGCACACAACGTACACGCACAACGTACACGCACAACGTACACGCACAACGTACACGCACAACGTACACGCACAACGTACACGCACAACGTACACGCACAACGTACACGCACAACGTACACATGACGGGCACAGGGGTGCACAACGTGCACTAAACTCTAGAAAGAATAAAACGAATTGAAATAGTCTGAATCAGAAACTGACGTGTCCTCTTCCTCCTTCTCTTCAGGGTTCGTCTTCGTAAAGAGGAGAAGCTGAGGGAGCAGGAGCAGAGGCTGAAGGAGAAGGAGGAGAGACTGAAGGAACAAGAGGAGAGACTGAAGGAGCAGGAGGTGAAGGGAGGACTCCAGACTAACAGGTAGAGGAGAGACGGTTTTATCTTTAACAAATGCTGTAATTCTGATGATAAAGGTCTGAATAAACAAGTAGAAGAAGAATGTTTGTTTGAAGGAAGTGTCCACGCAGGGACAAACACTGAAGTGAAATGTTTGATGGAAGTCGCAGTTTAAGTTGAAGCCCTTTAAGCAGTTAAAGTGTCTGGAGATGAACTTCTGATGGTTTGAAGCGTCGGTTGGATCTAAAGGGATGAAGAGGTGGAAATACGTCCTCTGACGCTCTGTAGGAGCTGAAGTGTCGCTTGGTACGCAGCAGCGGAAGACTTCAGTTAATCAGTACTGAGAATTCACTTTATTGGACCTGTTTCCAAGAAGTTCAGCGTAATCACATATTTATTTGATGTGTGTTGATCTCAGTATTAACGTGTTGCTTGTGTCTGCAGCGAGACTGCAGCACGAAACACTGAGGAAGACGAGGAGCAGAAGTCTTCCTCCAGCAGCAGGAAGAAGAAAGGTAAAGAAACATTAAGTGTTTCCACATGAGACCAGTTTGTGCTTCCTGCTGAGTCACGATGTTTCCTCTCTCCTCCAGCTGAACCGACCTCCGACCCCAAAGCCCCGTCCTGCCCCCCCACCAGCCTGACTGCAGAGCAGCTGGAGAACGAGCAGGAGAAGGTCTGAAACATGGACTGAATTTTATGTATCTATCCTTAGTGTGTATATGGAGGTTATAGGTCGTTTTAATAGAGACGGAGATCAGTTCTGATCCGCAGCTGAAACGCTGGTGAGGACGGAGGTGATTCTGTTTTAAAAATGTAGCAGTGTAGGTGGAGCCTCAGGAATCAAACTGTTCCCATGTTGATTCCACCCTCCGATACTCCGGTCAGTCCGGCGGTACCAGTCAGTACTTTGACCGTGAGAAGGTTCACGTGAGTCTGCTGGATCATCACTTTACCTTCTCACTGCATTAATTAGTCGGAGCAGGTCAACAAAAACAAAGAACAGGACGTAACGCGGTACAAAGGGGTGTGGTCTGAGCGTCATGTCCGTCCCGCAGGTTCGAGAGCTACAGGAGCGGATCCAGAAGGCGGCGGCCTGCACTTGCCTGCTGCCTCTGGGCAGAGACCGTCTGTACCGCCGTTACTGGCTCCTCCCCTCAGCCTCCACGCTGTTTGTAGAGGACGACTTCTTCGGCATGACGGAGGATATGCTGCATCCACGGCCAAAACCCGCACAGGACGCCACAACCAAGATGGAGGACGACGAGGTCGTCAAGGAGGAGCCCGCCGAGGGAAGGTAGGTCACTGTTATATTCTTGTCCCGTCAGACACGGGGAGGTCCGGTGTTCAGAGAGGTTTTCTAATGATGATAAAACCTTCCAGTGCTGCCTCAAGCCCCGCCCCCATCTACACCTGCGGGCCGCCAGTCAAACGGCCCAACCAGTGGTCCTTCTACAGCTCAGTGGAGGAAGTGGATCAGCTGATCGAGGCTCTGAACCCACGTGGTCACAGAGAGAGCAGCCTGAAGGAGGTGCTGCTGCAGGAGAGGGAGAGACTGCAACACCTGCTGCAGAACTGTGACCGCAACAAATACAGCCGCTCAGGTAAATAACCGCACAGCAGGTAACGCACAGCGGGTAACGCACAGCGGGTAACGCACAGCGGGTAACGCACAGCAGGTAAATACTCTCTTCTCCTTGTCCAGATGATCCGGAGTCATCACGATCTGTCCCAGAGTGCACTGCTGCAGCTGAGACTCTGATGGAGGTGAGACTGAGAGACCTGCTGCTGGACATCGAGGACAGAATCCACCAAGGAACTCTGGGAACTCTGAAGGTACAAACACACCTGCTGGTGAACAGAGTCAGGCACAGCAGCAGGTAACCTCCCGCTCACCTGTCTCTCTCTGTGTTCAGGTGATGGACAGACAGGTGTGGCGCTCTGCGCTGGAAGCAGGAAGCTACGAGCTGCTGTGTTCAGACGGCAAAGAGAGCGGAGGGATGAACGGACGAGTGGAAGCCATGGAGGTGGACTCACCTGCCCCCCTCAGAGCCAGGGACAGGTACGCAGACTCGGGTGGAAACATGTCCCTGACCTGAAGCAGCAAGTTTCTCTCTGGGCGCCGCTCTGTGGTGGCGAGCGTTTGGTTGACTCAGATTTGATGTGTTAGCTGATGAGCACGTTATACTCACCTGACCTTGGTGTCCAACATGTGGCCCGGGGACCGGGCTGTGACGGCGTGCTGCTGTGTGTGTGTGTTACAGGCTGCAGGAGCTGAAGGGCGACGGCGTGGCCTCGGGCAGCGGGACTCCTCAGGTGGTCAGCAGCTCAGTACGGATCCTGGCTCAGGCCCTCGTTCACATCGAGCAAGGCATCGAGAGGCGCTTCCTCAAAGCTCCGCTGGGTGAGTCTCCCTCCAGGCCTGGAAAGGTTTGGAACATGGCGTGGCGCCCCATGGGTGCATCTCTACAGAAAATAACACGTGAACGGCCCAAAATACACCTGAGACGCTGACTGACCTTTTAGCATAGTGGACCCTGATATAGTTATCATGGGCATCATTAGTCATTTAACCATGACAGGTATGAAAGGTACAGGTGTGTGTGGGCGGAGTCACTGTTTCACTGTGTCTGGCTCCTCCCCCACAGGTGAGGAAGACTCCAAGAAAGACCAGAAGACCAAGAAGACCAAGAAGAAAGACGAGGACCAGGCCAGTGACGGTACGACTTCCTGATACTAGAGACCGTAAATCCTCCGCCTGCAGGAGGGACCTGATCAGGACCTGATCAGTTCTCGGTCACAACGGATCCAGATCAGCAGGAAACTCACTTTAAACTCTGTCTGTCTCTCAGATGGCAGTGACAGCGGCCGGGTCAGTAAGACGGTGTTGGAGCGATGGAGGGAGTCTCTGCAGTCCTGCTCAAGTCTGTCTCAGGTCAGGAAAAAGAAGTTTGACCGTTTATAACACCTGGGTGGCAACTGTGGGATTAACATGCTGATGCTTGTCCAGGTGTTTGTCCACCTGTCCAGTCTGGAGCGAAGCGTTCTTTGGTCCCGCTCAGTCCTCAATGCTCGCTGTCGCATCTGCAGACGCAAAGGAGACGCCGACAACATGCTGCTGTGTGACGGGTGTGACCGAGGACACCACACCCACTGTCTGAGGCCCCGCCTCAAGGTACGTACAGACCACACCCACTGTCTGAGGCCCCGCCTCAAGGTACGTACAGACCACACCCACTGTCTGAGGCCCCGCCTCAAGGTACGTACAGACCACACCCTCCAGGTGGAAACAATAAAACTTTACAGTAGCCATGTTTCCATCCAATTGTCATGCGAATCGTACTTTTGAAATGTAGCAAAAAAAGAGTGAAATCTGTGCGTTTCCATCAGCTGGTTTGGAGCGAATAAACCAGGCTGTGGCGAGCATCGTTACGTCAGCAGTTGACGTTCCACACGGCTGTAATAAACAAGACGTCTGGGTTCCAAACCAGAAACAAAACCAGCTGCATGAACCTGAGGGCCACTGATCTGAGAGAAACGGAGAGGTCGTCAGGAATGTGTTTCAAGCGGGCAAGTTGCTACCAGCCATGTCCCCGTGCATTATGGGAATATCTGGTGTTATGCAGAGTTTTGCATGCACCTCCAGATAACGCTTTTAAACGCTCTAATATCCTTTTTATGGGGTTCATCAGTGGTGATAAATGACTCGAAGTATATATGCGTTCAGAGTCGTTATTATTTTATTACACTCAGCAGAAGCAGCGTTCACTGAGATTCAGCAACAACATGCGGTGATCACCTGTTTGATCAGCGTGCAGAGCAAAGGATCTGAGAAGGACCTTTTAAGAGGTGAACGCATCATTCAGCAGAACAGCTGATGAAGGCTTCCTGCCCAGATCTGCATCCACCTCTTTTCTCAGCACATATGAGCGTCACCGGCCGCGGCAGGAAATTCTCTGCAGGCGTTCAGAACTCTGCAACACCGGCTGAGACGCTGACAGCAGAAACAGCTGATCAGACGTGACTTACGAGTTCGCTACGTCAGAACTTATTCGGATTGTAAAGTGTTTCCATGTCCCGTTTAGCGCCTTAACTCTTTTTCCACAAAAACCACCTCAAGTGAGCAAAAACGTTTTTATGAAATTAAGTAGTTTTATTTTTTTCGAATTTTGAATCAACCGTTTGTAACCGACACTTCAAAATGCGCATAAAAAAACTCCGCTAATAACTGTTTGCTGGAAGGTTGTTCCTGTGAAGTAGCGCTGTGCGATAGGACTAAAATCTCACCTCCCGATATAGAACATTCTTTTGTAAATTCTGTAAGCGATTCTGGAGAAATCCGACAGCATGAAAAATACCATGATGTAGCCTGAACGACGACGCATCATGTAAACTGCTGTTACATGCTGCTGCAAAGGTAACGAGAGGACGAGGCGGCAGCTCCACCCGTTTGTGGACTCGAGGTTGACATTTGGCCGTCACCATCTTTGTTTGTGGAACCAGAAGTGACCATATTTGGACGAGAGGGTGGAGCTAGCTCGCTTGCTTAGCAAGGTGCTTCGTGTATTCATGTGATATTAGCCAGGATGATAATTTTGGCTAAATGAACAGCCTGACTGTGTTTTAGTGCAACTGTACGCTGATCAAGGCACTTTGGAACCTTGTGGATCTTTAACCAGCTCGTTCTGTTTCTCAGTCGGTTCCAGAGGGCGACTGGTTCTGTCCAGACTGTCGACCCAAACAGAGATCCAGCCGCCTGCCGTCCCGTCAGCGCTCTTCTATTGATGAGGAGGAGGAGGAGGAGGAGGAGGAAGAGCAGGAGGACGAGGATGAACAGGAAGAGGAGGAGGAGGAGGAAGAGGAGGAGGAGTCAGAGGAAGAAGAGGAGTCGGAGGAGGAGGAGGAGGAAGTAGCAGTGAAGTAAGTGTTGAAATATTTTAACCTGGTCCCCCTGCCCTGAGATCAGTCTCAAAGAGCAGCTTCTAATCTGTCAATCTCTGCAGCACCAAGAAGATCCCGCCCCCTAAAGGAAAGAGCCAGCAGGCCACGCCCAAAGGTCAGCAGGCCACGTCCAAGAACAGCGCCGGCTCTGCAGGGAAAACGTCCACAGCCTCCAAGTCAGTATCTGTCCTGATCCCAGTTTACTGTAGATCTGATCCCAGTTTACTTCATGTCCATTTTCTGATTCTATCCAATCACAGGTCCTCAGGGAAAAAGGCCACGCCCCCCCCAGTGAAGGCCAACATGGTGTCTGGAGGTAAAGCTCCGGCCCGCTCGGGGAGTCGAGTCAGCGCCCGTCTGAGCCACGAAATCCTGCCACAAAACGGCAACACAAAGACCTCACCTGGTCAGAGTGAACCCCACAAGAGACCGCCAACAGGTAAACAACCAGTCAGGCAGTAAACAACCAGTCGACAGGCAGGTGGGGCTCGTCCAGTAGGAATCCAGGATTTGAATTCAGTCTCACACTTGGGTGCGGTTTAACGGCCCGGAGGGTTTTGGCGCCGTTTTTTTGTTGCAGCTTCGTTCCTGAGGTGAAGGCCTCCTGGTGTGGGCTTTGCTTTAACCTGTCCCCCTTTGTCCTCGTCAGATGGGCCGTCCCCACCTAAACCCTCCAGACCCGTCCTCCCTCCTTCATCCTCGTCCTCCTCGTCTTCATCCAGCCGGCGCTCCTCCGGCAGGAACCACGGCGTCCATGAGCTTTCGGCCTGCGAGCAGCTGACTGTGGAGCTCGTCAGACATGAAGACAGCTGGCCCTTCATGAAGCTGGTGTCCAGGACTCAGGTACACACAGACACGCACCTGGACGCGCAGGCACAGCGCTAACAGGCGGTTTGTGGTTGAACATATGCAGACCGATGAGGACTCGTCTGTGTGTCGGCCGTAGGAACTGTTCACTTCAACATATGCGTCTTCAGTTTTATTCCTCTAAGGAGAAACATGTTTATCATGAACTTCTTTCACACGTCTTCTTGTTAGACTAGAGCAAAGACAACATCTATAATCCACAGTCAGTAGTTTATTTTCCTGCAGTTTGTCTCTGCGCGTCTGTAGATTTCTCCTACAGTTAGCGCTCTATGGTACTAATGCTACATGTGGTTCTGTTGGAAACTACACAGCACAACGCTGTCTGATCCAAATATGGTCCATATTTTCACTTAGGGGTGTCCTCACTTTTGTTGCCAGCGGTTTAGACATTAATGGCTGTGTGATGTGTTATTTTGAGGGGACAGCAGATTTACACTGTTCTACAAGCTGTACGCTCACTATTTTACGCTGTTACACAAGCTGTACGCTCACTACTTTACACTGGAGCAAAGAGTCCTTTCTTCAGTGTAGAAACATGAAAAGATAGAATCAGATATTTACAAAGATGTGAGGGGTGAACTCACTTTGTGAGATGCTGTAAATCACATCCTGCAGTTTAGAACATTTTACACAGGTGAATGTTTCTGACCTCCTGTCTGCAGGTCCCTGACTACTATGACATCATCAAGAAGCCGATCGCCCTCAGCACGATCAGAGAGAAAGTCAACAACTGTGAATACCAGACGGCAGGTGAAGAAACACGTTTACTTTTTTATTTATTTATTTGTATTGTTTTTCTCATCTCATTAAATTATCCTCGAAGCTTTGGGAATCTTGTTCTATTGACGTTCATGTCCATAAAGCACACTGAAATTGAAGTACCTCTCTGTCTGCAGGTGAGTTCGTCTCAGACGTGGACCTGATGTTCTCTAACTGTCTTCAGTACAATCCTCGTCACACTAACGAGGCGAAGGCCGGACTCCGCCTGCAGCAGTTCTTCCACTCGGAGCTCAGCAGACTGGGCCTATCAGAGCGCAGCTCCGCACCGCCCGCTAAACGCTCCCGACACTGAAACCGAACGCACTCCTCTGACCTCACGGCCGTCCACTCAGCTGATTGGTCCAGGGACGAGACGTGGCCCGATGCCCTCTGGACTGGCACGGTGTGACTCCTTCATGACCTCTGACCCCCGTGAACCCACAACGCCCTGCAGGGGTCAGAGGTCATGGACATTATAATACCCCCACAGGTTACACAGGTACACCTGGCTCAGGTGGGCTTCAATCAGACCAGCTCAGACAGTCTCACCTGGTCACCTGACCAAGAGCTTCTCTCTAAAACAAGCCAAACTTCTGGAAGATAGTTTCAGCTCCTTGTGAACCCGTAGAAACGTTGTGGAGTAGATATTCCTGCTGCCGTTTGGGGCATTGACCAGTCTGCGTGGACGGACGCTGGACGTGTAGCGGACTTCCTGTGGTGCTGTAGGACGTAGAGACGAGTCCACGGTTCTCTAAACCACTAAAGAGCGTTCGGCTCTCAGATCAGGTTCTGGTGTTTTGCTCAGGGACAAATTGTTTGATTTGAATAAGAAATATTTTCTAACAGAGCAGCTGTTTTTTACTGAAGCAGAGCATCGTCGTGGCAACAAGGTCAAAGCCTATGGGAGCCTGCGGCGGCCAAATTAAAATGGAATCCTTTAACGTATGTGTGACAAACATTTAAAAAGATCTGTGGTAAATATTCTAAACCCGAGGCTCCATCAGGACAAAAGCGTTTAGACAAAAAAGTTGTAAACAAAGATCAGATGCAAACATTCTGACGTACATCGAGAGCACACACACAGAGAAGTTCATTTTAATATTGGCAGCCCGAGTCTTTCATAGACTAATTTATAAAACTGTTAACGAGGTCAAACATCAGCACAGGCCCCGCCCTCTAAAGACACTGGCCCCGCCCCCTGGCCTCGCGTTTCCTCCAAAGAAAACAAGAACCTGAGTCCTGCTGTCAGAGTTTATCTGAAATATTCAAACAGGAAATCAATATTTAATCAAACTAATGACGTTAACTGAAATGAGAACCGGGACCTCAGGAAGCTGATTTATGATTTTTATAGATTATTAAAAAGATGGAGCTTGAGGTGCTTTGTTGAGGATCTCAGGACCTGGTTTGTGTGGAGGAAACTCGTGGTGTGGCGTTTTAACCTGCTTTGATAGAATCGGCCTTTAAAGGAACAGTTTCAGTCATCAGTCTCATGCCTGTGTGTTTAGCTTAGCTTAGCATAAAGACTGGAAGCAGGTGGAAACAGCCAGCCTACTGCCCCCTGACTGACATCGCGTGAGGCTGGTAGACGCGCTGTTCCTTTAAGAACCGGAGCCGCCGTGGCCTCTGTGGATTTGTAGTTTTTGTATTTTGACTACTGCGAAGTTTTTCCTGCTTTAGGCAGTTTTGTTCTGTGACGTTAGCGTGTCCGCAGTCAGCTGCATATTTATTTAGCCGTGCGTTGTCTTTATTTATGACGGATAGATGCCTCCTGCCTCCCGGTGCTCTCTCACTTGTTGTTGTTGTTCTTCTTCTTCTGATGTACAAATAAAAATAAATAAACACTTTTATAACCAGCTGCTGCCTGCTCTCTCACACACACTCACACTCTCTCTCACACACACACCTGACCTCATTAGGTATTTTACTAGTACTTGGTCAGCAGAGTACTCCTGAGTCACTCAGTATATGTTGTGTGTGATAGATAGATAGATAGAGATATAGAGATATATATATAGAGAGATATAGATATAGATATATATAGATATATATAGATATATATTTATTGATAGTAATGCTTTGTACTTACTAATAAACTCTTTCTTCACATTAGTGAAAAAAAACAAATTCAAAGTTTCACCGGTGGTGTTTCTAATGAGACCTGAGTACTTAATATACTTTACATACTTAGGCTACTTATACTTTACATAATATACTTTACATACATAATATACTTTACATACTTAGGCTACTTATACTTTACATAATATACTTTACATACATAATATACTTTACATACTTAGGCTACTTATATTTACATTATATACTTTACATAATACATTACATACTTAGGCTACTTATACTTTACATAATACTTTACATACATAATATACTTACATACTTAGGCTACTTATACATAATACTTTACATACTTAAGCTACTTATACTTTACATAATATACTTTACATAATATACTTTACATACTTAGGCTACTTATATTTTACATTATATACTTTACATAATATACATTACATACTTAGGCTACTTATACTTTACATAATACTTTACATAATACTTTACATACATAATATACTTTACATACTTAGGCTACTTGTACTTTACATAATACTTTACATACATAATATACTTTATATACTTAGGCTACTTATACTTTACATACATAATATACTTTACATACATAATATACTTTACATTAGGCTACTTATACTTTACATAATATACTTTACATACTTAGCTACTTATACTTTACATAATACTTTACATACTTAAGCTACTTATACTTTACATAATATACTTTACATAATATACTTTACATACTTAGGCTACTTATATTTTACATTATATACTTTACATAATATACATTACATACTTAGGCTACTTATACTTTACATAATACTTTACATAATACTTTACATACATAATATACTTTACATACTTAGGCTACTTGTACTTTACATAATACTTTACATACATAATATACTTTATATACTTTATATACTTAGGCTACTTATACTTTACATACATAATATACTTTACATACATAATATACTTTACATTAGGCTACTTATACTTTACATAATATACTTTACATACATAATATACTTTACATACTTAGGCTACTTGTACTTTACATAATACTTTACATACATAATATACTTTACATACATAATATACTTTACATTAGGCTACTTATACTTTACATAATATACTTTACATACATAATATACTTTACATACTTAGGCTACTTGTACTTTACATAATACTTTACATACATATATACTTTACATACTTAGGCTACTTATACTTTACATACATAATATACTTTACATACATAATATACTTTACATTAGGCTACTTGTACTTTACATAATATACTTTACATACATAATATACTTTACATACTTAGGCTACTTGTACTTTACATAATACTTTACATACATAATATACTTTACATACTTAGGCTACTTGTACTTTACATAATACTTTACATACATAATATACTTTACATACTTAGGCTACTTATACTTTACATACATAATATACTTTACATACATAATATACTTTACATTAGGCTACTTGTACTTTACATACTGAATATATTTTTACTGTGAGCACCTGTGTTAGACAGTTTCAAGCTGAAAGCCTTATGAGGTGAACTGACACTTCCTCTCCTCCCTCTCCCCCTTCCTCCTCCCCCTCCCCCCCCCCCCCTCCCTCCCTCCTCTCTCCTCCCCCCCCCTCCGTCCTCCCTCCTCCCCCTCCCGTCGGCCGGCCACATTCCCCGCTACCTTTCACCCCTGAGAAACCCCGATCTGAGGCGCTGCAGCAGACAAACTCCGGGACAACATGGTAAGTACCGGCTGTAAACAATCTCCCGGGTCTGATTGTGTTCTTAGAAACCGGTTCCTGTGTAGTCCGGTTCCTGCGGGTCTCCGGAGGACCGTTATGTGTCTCTGGTAGCTGATGTTAGCATGGCTGCCGCTCCCGTTAGCTAGCAGCTCCGCCGCCGCCGATTATTCGGTGTTTACGTCACCTAGAAACCTCGTTTGGTAACGTCTTTAATCCGGTGACCTTACCGGAGAGGTTTCTGGATTTTATCTAAGTATAACGGTCCTCGTTCCGGGCCGGGCTGAACCAGACTGGGCCGGGCCTGCCCCCAGGCCGTGTGGCCCGGGGCGGCCATCTTATTCCCGCTGTGCTCCTGCTGGGCTGACCGGCCCGCACCCAGCCGAGACACGCTACCGGACCCGGAGTGACCCAGGCCAGCTGGGCTCACTGAACCAAACTAAACCGGTTCAGCTGAAGGAGCGGGTTCTGGAGGGTCGATCAGGTTTATTTAGCAGAGTCAGACGGACAGCTGTGACTCTGCAGTCTGAAGGCCTTCTGGCTGAGTACTGCTGGAGCTGTCACCAGTCACGCTAACCAGTAACACCAGCAGCTAAGCAGTAACACAAACCAGTAACACCAACAGCTAAGCAGTAACACTATGTCCAGCTAAACAGTAACATTATGTCCAGCTTACCAGTAACTCTAGCTAACCAGTAACACCAGCAGCTAAGCAGTAACACAAACCAGTAACACCAACAGCTAAACAGTAACACAAACCAGTAACACCAACAGCTAAACAGTAACACAAACCAGTAACACCAACAGCTAAACAGTAAAACCAGCTAACCAGTAACACAAACCAGTAACACCAACAGCTAAATACAGTACAGTGTGGTACAGTGGAGTACAGTACAGTGGAGTACAGTACAGTGTGGTACAGTGGAGTACAGTACAGTGGAGTACAGTACAGTGTGGTACAGTGGAGTACAGTACAGTGGAGTACAGTACAGTGTGGTGCGGTACAGTGCAATGGTGTACAGTACAGTGGTTTGCAGTGGAGTACAGTGGTGTGCAGTGGAGTACAGTGCAGTGGAGTACAGTGCAGTGGAGTACAGTACAGTGTGGTGCGGTACATTGCAGTCGAGTACAGTGCGGTGGAGTACAGTACAGTGTGGTACAGTGGTGTACGGTACAGTGGTGTACAGTACAGTGGTGTGCAGTGGAGTACAGTGCAGTGGTGTACAGTGCAGTTGAATACAGTGTGGTACAGTGCAGTGGAGTACAGTACAGTGTGGTACTGTGCAGTTGAGTACAGTGCAGTGGAGTACAGTACAGTGTGGTGCGGTACAGTGCAATGGTGTACAGTACAGTGGTGTGCAGTGGAGTACAGTACAGTGGTGTGCGGTGGAGTACATTGCAGTGGAGTACATTGCAGTGTGGTGCGGTACAGTGCGGTGGGTACAGTACAGTGCGGTGGAGTACAGTACAGTGTGGTGCGGTACAGTACAGTGGGGTACAGTACAGTGCAGTGGTGTACGGTACAGTACAGTGCAGTGGTGTACAGTACAGTACAGTGCAGTGGTGTACAGTGGAGTACAGTGTGGTACAGTGCAGTGGAGTACAGTAGAGTGTGGTACAGTGCAGTGGAGTACAGTAGAGTGTGGTGCGGTACAGTGCAGTGGAGTACAGTACAGTGTGGTGCGGTACAGTACAGTGGAGTACAGTACAGTGTGGTGCGGTACAGTACAGTGGAGTACAGTACAGTGTGGTGCGGTACAGTACAGTGGAGTACAGTGTGGTGCGGTACAGTGTGGTGCGGTACAGTGTGGTGCGGTACAGTGTGGTACGGTACAGTGTGGTGCGGTACAGTGTGGTACGGTACAGTGTGGTGCGGTACAGTGCAGTGGTGTACAGTACAGTGGAGTACAGTGGAGTACAGTGCAGTGGTGTACAGTAGGTGGAGTACAGTGCAGTGGTGTACAGTACAGTGGAGTACAGTGGGGTACAGTACAGTCTGGTGCGGTACAGTGGAGTACAGTATAGTGTGGTACAGTACAGTGTGGTACAGTGCAGTTGAGTACAGTGGAGTGCAGTTGAGTACAGTGGAGTGGAGTGCAGTTGAGTACAGTACAGTGGAGTACAGTGTGGTACAGTGGAGTGCAGTACAGTGTGGTGCAGTGCAGTGGAGTGCAGTACAGTGTGGTGCGGTACAGTGGAGTACAGTAGAGTGTGGTACAGTGCAGTGGAGTACAGTACAGTGGGGTACAGTGGAGTACAGTGTGGTACAGTACAGTGGAGTACAGTACAGTGGGGTACAGTGGAGTACAGTGCGGTGCAGTGCGGTACAGTACAGTGGGGTACAGTGGAGTACAGTACAGTGCGGTGCAGTGCGGTACAGTACAGTGGAGTACAGTACAGTGCGGTGCAGTGCGGTACAGTACAGTGGGGTACAGTGGAGTACAGTACAGTGGGGTACAGTGGTGTACGGTGCAGTGGTGTACAGTGCAGTGGTGTACGGTACAGTGTGGTGCGGTACAGTAGTGTGGTACGGTATAGTGTGGTACGGTGGAGTACGTACAGTGTGGTGCAGTGGAGTACAGTGTGGTACAGTGCAGTGGAGTACAGTGTGGTGGGGTACAGTGCAGTGGAGTACAGTGTGGTACAGTGCAGTGGGGTACAGTGGAGTACAGTGCGGTGCAGTGGAGTACAGTACAGTACAGTGGAGTACAGTACAGTGCGGTGCAGTGCGGTACAGTACAGTGGAGTACAGTACAGTGGAGTACAGTGCGGTGCAGTGCGGTACAGTACAGTGGGGTACAGTGGAGTACAGTACAGTGGGGTGCAGTGGTGTACAGTGCAGTGGTGTACAGTGCAGTGGTGTACGGTACAGTCTGGTGCGGTACGGTATAGTGTGGTACAGTGGAGTACGTACAGTGTGGTACAGTGCAGTTGAGTACAATGCAGTGGAGTACAGTGTGGTACAGTGCAGTGGAGTACAGTGTGGTACAGTGGAGTACAGTGTGGTACAGTACAGTGGAGTGCAGTGGGGTACAGTGCAGTGGAGTGCAGTGGGGTGCAGTGGAGTACAGTGTGGTACAGTGGAGTACAGTGTGGTGCAGTGGAGTACAGTACAGTGTGGTGCAGTGCAGTGGAGTGCAGTGGAGTACAGTGCAGTGGGGTACAGTACAGAGCAGTACAGTGCAGTGGGGTACAGTGCAGTGGGGTACAGTGGGGTACAGTACAGTGGGGTACAGTGGAGTACAGTACAGTGGGGTACAGTGCAGTGCGGTACAGTACAGAGCAGTACAGTGCAGTGTGGTACAGTGGGGTACAGTGGAGTACAGTGTATCTAAATCTAAACTGTCAGTTGAAAGATGAATGACCTGGTCGATCAGCTCTGTATTCATGTGTCAGTGTGTCATCATCTGATATGAACCAATTGCCTGTCCTCTGCAGGCGTCAGGTGTGACAGTGAACGATGAGGTCATCAGGGTGTTCAACGACATGAAGGTGAGGAAGTCTTCAACCCAGGACGAGGTGAAGAAGAGGAAGAAGGCGGTGCTGTTCTGTCTGAGCGAGGACAGGAAGAAGATCATCGTGGAGGAGGGGAAGCAGATCCTGGTGGGGGACATCGGGGAGACGGTGGATGACCCCTACGCCTGCTTCGTTAAGCTCCTCCCCCTTAACGACTGCAGATATGGCCTGTACGACGCCACCTACGAGACCAAGGAGTCCAAGAAGGAGGACCTCGTCTTCATCTTCTGGTACAGTACTGAAGCCTCCGCAAACATATTGATTGTCGGTGTGTAGAGAACATTAGAATATAAATCTGTTTAATGGTACTTTAATACTGGAGTCCCTCAATAAAGCACTGAATAAATGTAATCCATTATTATTTTCTACGTCTCTATGGGTTAGAACCACCTTTGATCGTGTTCCTCCTTCCTGGGATTTTAAAAACTTTAAAGTTCTTGCTCAGTTTAGGGAGTTCATATGGTTCCACTGCTGCTGACAGTCTTTCTGAGTTGGGGCTGTTCTCCCGTGTTCTGACGGTTCTCCTGAGTTCTGAGTGTTGTACTGAGTTCTGACGGTTCTTCAGTGTTCTGAAAGCTCCACTGAGTCCTGACTGTTCTCCCCATTCACGACGGTTCTCCCAAGTCGCGACGGTTCTCCTGAGTTGTGACAGTTCTACTTATTTCTGACTGTTCCGTGTTGTTTGTCCTCAGGGCTCCAGAGAACGCTCCACTGAAGAGCAAGATGATCTACGCCAGTTCAAAAGATGCCATCAAAAAGAAGTTTACAGGTGAGTCGTCATGTGACCTGCTGAGGTCAGAGGTCACACTGATCATTATAGATTATAGAACATTAGATATTGGTGCTCTCTGACAGCAAGCGGTTGCCGCCGCCTCCTTTGCTTTCAATGTAAACATGATGGCGTTGTGAATGTGCATGCCGCGTAACATCGGTCCGGGACAATAAACAATTTTTTTCGCACTGTCAGGTCCTGTTTCCTGTCCTGCTCAGATGTGTCAATGGTTAGACCCCTCAGTGACCTCAGGTGTGTCTCCTCAGGTATCAAACACGAGTGGCAGGTGAACGGGCTGGACGACATCCAGGACCGCACCACGCTGGCCGAGAAGCTGGGCGGGAACGTTGTGGTGTCTCTGGAGGGCAAGCCGCTGTGATGTCATCGCGGCGAGCCGAGCGGAGCCAAGCCAACCGCCGTGCCATCCGGACCGAAGCACCTGACCCCACGCCGCTTCACTCAGCAGCTTGCTCTGTCTGTATCCATGTCCTGAAGGAGTTAGCGTCTTTAGGCCTCTTTGTTTTCTTTTTGTTCTTTTTGCTTTTTTCCAACATGAAGGAGATCTCATTAACATAATGATATGCAAACCCCTCCCAGTTTGTTGCCACATGACTTCTGTTCACCTGGCAGAAAAAAAATGACACACTACCAAACCCCAGGACGGTTGTCTCTCTCACAGCCAGAGTTTTGCCAAAAAGTCGATGTGAAGGAAGCAGCCACACGTGTTGGAGGCGAGCGCCACGGAGCTCCGCCTCCTGCAGCACACGGGTCATGAAGCTTTTTACATATGACTTTATTTATTATTGTTAACTGTTGTTTCTTCTTCGGCATGTTCACACCAGGCAGACTTATTGTTAGACTATGCATTGAGAGGAGGAGAAGAAGAAGAAGATTTTAACCCAGCACTTTCTGTTGAAACACTACAGCTTAAATTCTGACGTCACCGAGCTTGTAACGTTTGTTTACCTCAGTCTCACTCCTGTCGGACTCGCCGTCATTCTAGCTGTTTGGTCGTCGCCTTACTTTCAGTTTGAATGTAACCGTCACACCACTTAGTTAGAGTGCACTTTTATTTTGTAAAGAAACACTACAGGAAGCAGATTTGACCCCAGCCGTGAGAGACGACCCCACAAAAACATCAAGAACACGACGACATCTGGAGCCTTAAAGTGGAACGTTGTTTCTGAGATCACAGGAAGCCACTTTGCAATAAAAGCCTGTGGCAGATCTGACTCCTCCCGCCTCGTCTCTGCTTGCACCAATCACAGAGCGTTTCCACCCGCAGGTCGTTCACCTGGTGTCCACCTGAGATCCTCATGAACAGGTGGACAGGTTCTACTTCCGGTCTGTCGCTCATCTTTGACCTGCGGTGACCTAAAAAACACCAGGCAGGTTTAAACGACCTCTGTGTGAAAACGTTCTGAGCACCGTAGAACCTCAGTAGAACAAGTTTGACTCCAGTAGCACTCTAGTGGTGCTCATTAGAACCCCAGTAGAATCAATGTGATCCCGATAGAATCCTAGTAGAACGAATGTGAACCCAGTAGAGCACATGCAAAAACAATTTGACAATCGGTAGAACCCCAGTAAAACACATGTTCTAATGTAACTAGATACACAGGTATGACGTCAGTAAACCTTAAGTAGAACCATCGTGACTCCATTTCATGACCTCAGTAGATCATCAAATGGATAAGTCTGACCTCAATAGAACCTTTATCCATTGTGACCTTAGTAGAACAAGTAAGATGCCAGTAGGACTCCATTAGAACAAGTGTTACATCAGTAAAACCTCATTAGAACCAGGATGACTCCATTAGAACACAGTTAGAACCAGTAAGACTCCAGTGAACCCCATTAGAACCAGTATTACATCACTAGGACTTGTATGATATTTTTGGAACCAGTATGACTTCAGCAGAACCCCCTTAGAAACAGTATGTCCTCATTAGAACACGTCAGTAGAATCCCATTAGAACAAGAATTCTGTGAGTGTACCAACAGTAGTATGAGGAGTTTTGTGGTTCCTGCAGTAATAGTCCGTCTCATAGAGAATGTTCTCCCAGTTTGGATCAACATGAAACTGAAGCAACAAAACATCAAGATATGGTTCTTTGATAAAAAGTGTCAAGAAGCCTGAGGACAAGTACTAAACTTAACAGTAGATGTTAACTACAACTCCCAAGGTGCATTGTGGCAAGGACGATCCAATCACAGAGCTTCACAAGAGGTGGAAGATAAAGATGGAGCTGCTGAGAAAACAAAACAATCTGAAGCTTTAAATCGGCTCAGTTTTAAATTCTGCGACATAACTGTTCTCTTAATGACTGAAGCTATCGTAACGTGACTAAAGCTAACTAACGTAGCGTGACTGAAGCTAACGTAACGTGACTAAAACTAACTAACGTAGCGTGACTAAAACTAACTAACGTGACTAAAGCTATCGTAACGTGACTGAAGCTAACGTAACGTGACTGAAGCTAACGTGACTGAAGCTAACTAACGTAGCGTGACTAAAACTAACTAACGTGACTAAAGCTATCGTAACGTGACTGAAGCTAATGTAAAGTGACTAAAGCTAACTAACGTAACGTGACTGAAGCTAACTAACGTAACGTGACTGAAGCTAACGTAACGTGACTGAAGCTAACGTAATGTGACTGAAGCTAACGTGACTGAAGCTAACTAACGTAGCGTGACTAAAACTAACTAACGTGACTAAAGCTATCGTAACGTGACTGAAGCTAATGTAAAGTGACTAAAGCTAACTAACGTAACGTGACTGAAGCTAACTAACGTAACGTGACTGAAGCTATCGTAACGTGACTGAAGCTATCGTAACGTGACTAAAGCTAAATAACGTAACGTGTCACTGAAGCTAACGTGTCACTGAAGCTAACGTGTCACTGAAGCTAACGTGTTACTGAAGCTAACTAACGTAACGTGACTGAAGCTAACGTAACGTGACTGAAGCTAACGTAACGTGACTAAAGCTAAATAACGTAACGTGTCACTGAAGCTAACGTGTCACTGAAGCTAACGTGTCACTGAAGCTAACGTGTCACTGAAGCTAACGTGTTACTGAAGCTAACTAACGTAACGTGACTGAAGCTAACGTAACGTGACTGAAGCTAACTAACGTAACGTGACTGAAGCTAACGTAACGTGACTGAAGCTAACTAACGTGACTGAAGCTAACGTGACTGAAGCTAACTAACGTAATGTGACTGAAGCTAACTAACGTGACTGAAGCTAACGTGACTGAAGCTAACTAACGTAACGTGACTGAAGCTAACATGATACTGAAGCTAACGTCACTGAAGCTAATGTGTTACTGAAGCTAACGTGTTACACTGAAGGTAATTACGTCACTTAAGGTATATAGTTACATGTAACTATTAAATAAGTACTAGTAGCTTTGAAATAGCGACTACTAAGTTTTAGGGCTTGCCGTAGTGTGTAATGGTGGAAAGGAGGGACTTTATGAGGTACGACTGCATTCAGAACATGAAGCTGTTTGATGGTTAAATGATCGTGTTCAGTCACATGAAAGAGGAACCCTTAAAGAAACACTCAGGAACCAGCAGCTCGTCGCACTTCACTAAAAGTTGTTCAGTCAAACTGAGTTTAGATTCTGGCAGAAAAGTTTCCAGAGGTCCTAAATGTGAAAAAGATGGAGTCACTGAGCTGACGGCTCTGACGGCCACCGACCGAGAGGAAACGCCGTGACGAGGAAACATTAGGATAACACTAACGTAGGATATTACAGATACTCAGTATGACGTCAGACTTCAGGAGCTGAATGACAGAACGCTGTAAATTCCTGACCTTAAAAGGTCCTAAACTGTGAAAGCAGCCAGGGACTCCGGTCTGACCCAGATCCAGCAGAAACCAGAAGCAGGTTTGCTGCTCACGTTTAGAAGTGCTCCTGCAGCTGGTTCAGCCGGCGGCGGCGTTGAAATGTGTTGTATAAAGTATAAAAGAGGTGAAGCTGCTGACACTGACTGGCTCCAGGGAACCTGATCCTCCTGCTGCTATTTCTGGATCACACATGCTTCTGAGGCCCGTCATCGACGTCCACAGAAGGCAGAACCGGACAGACGGACAACCGAGAGCTACAAACCAGACCACACAAATGCACAACAGCTACACAACAATTACACAATAACAACCAACAGGGAACCTCCAGGTCTGGAAAGCGAGGCCACCTGCATTCTATCAAAAGGCCAGCAGGCGGCGACTCCACTGGTTGCATAAAGAACTTCAGCATGGTCATGGAACTCGCGACAGTAAACTGAAACAGTGCTCGATGTGGGCCTTGCACACTGGCGGTTCTCACAAGACCTTCTGTGTCTCACATGAAAAGATATAATCAAATATTCACAGAAATGTGAGGGTGTACTCACTGAGATGCTGTATATTATGGGTGTGTGGAGATGTATCAAAGGAAATCTGGGGGGCCTGATGCTGCAGAAAACATTAATATTAGACTACAGTTCTTGTACTCGGGAGAACTTCACCGTTAACTATCAAGGCGGTTTGTTTCTCATTCTAGAAACAAACTAGCTATTGGAACATGTGACTGACAGATGTTTCTTGTTGCCCAGGTGTTGCTTTTAGGTTGATTGTCCAAACATTAAATATCTCTGCATGACAAGTCTAAGTTTTTATTCTTGGTTCAAACCTATAAAGACAGCATTTCCCGTTAAAGAGGATAAACCAACATGAAGACTCAGAGAGCACAAATATAGAGGCCGCACCACAAGATGCAAACCACTCATCAGCAGCAAGAATCACAAGGCCAGACTGAAATCTGTACAGAGATGAGCCGCAAAAGTCCTGGAACACAATCTGATGGACTGATGAGACCAAGATTAATCTCTAACAAAGTGATGAAAAGACCAAAGTGTGGAAACAGAAAGGAACTGCTGATGATCCGAAGCGTACGAGCTCATCTGTGAAGCCTGGTGGAGGTCATGTCACGGCTGCTTCTGGAACAGGCTCATTAATATTTATTGATGATAGAACTGATGATGGTCGCAGCAGAATGAATTCAGAAGTGGACAGAAACATTTCCGGAGAAATGCATTGAAACTAATGGGGAGGAAGTTTATCCTGCAGCAGGACAATGAGCCAAAGCACACTGCCAACAAACAAAGGACTGTGGAAGGTTTTAGACCGGCCAAGTCAATCAGCTGACCTGAACCCAACAGAGCTGCATTTCACCTCCTTAAGAGGAGACTGAAGGGAGAAACACCCCGAAACAAAGAAGAAGTGAAAGAAGCTGCGGTAAAAGCCTGGAACAGCATCACAAATGAAGAATGCAACAGTTTGGTGATGTCGATGGGTCGCAGGCTTCAGGCAGTTACTGCAAGCAAACGTTCTGCCACCAAATATTAAATGTTATTTACTTTAAGATTATTTGTTCCATTACTGTTGCTCACCTCAGAACGCTGTGGTCTAATACAAACGGTGGTTCGTCCTGAGTTGTTTAACACATCCAGATGTGAATACCAGGAAATAAAAGCTGAAATTCTGAACTCTTGTCTCATCTTTTGATCTTAAACCCAAATGTCTTCAGACAACAACAAAAACAAAGGAAGTGGCCTCACCGTCTTTCGGAGGGGACTGGATGAACGAGATCAGGTGAGATAATGAGTTGAGCATTCTGTAAATATAAGACACGATGGACATTACACAACACTACACCAGCAGCTGCTCCTCAGGCCACCGTCGACCTCCTGCAGTGTGCAGATCACACCTCCCTCACTGGGGGATGAGTCCACCTTCAGGTGGGAGACTGCGGTCCACCAGGACCAAAACCTTAAGCCAACAGTTTCTTCCCATCTGCAGCCTCATCAACAAGAGCTGGGACTGCCACTGACTCTAAAGCCCCCCCAGCCCCCATCTGCAGTACACCCTGTTAATGTCTTTTATTGCACATGTAGATAATTAAATGCATTATTGCTCATTATTACTTATTATTCCTCACAACTTATATATTTTGTCAATATCATATTTTTAGATATCTTTATATTTATGTAGGTTTATATCTACTGTTGTGACGCACCTAGTAGCCCAAACAAGAACTACTTGCTAATAAATCTGGTTGTACTCCAAAATGAAAGTGTGCCGTCACTTCATGCTGCTCACACAGAACTTTACACATAATTAAATGTGTATTAGGGTAAAATAAATTATTATATTTTAGTTATTTTCATGTAAACATCCA